AGAGAGAGAGAGAGAGAGAGAAAGAGGTCAAAAGAAAAAAATAAATCTTTTTCGTTTGTCCAGTGAATCAGCGTTGCCAGTCAAGATTCTAAAATTTACTGTTCCAAAAATGATTTATCAAAAAAAATTCTTTCCGTCAAATCAGAGTTTGGCATTTTCCCGACACGAAGAAAATCGTTCAAACTATTCAAAAAAAATTGGATTTCCAATCTTTTCACACGACTCCGCCAGTACCATATGATTATCACACGAATATCAATCCATTTTGGACTTTTAAGAAACCCGTTTATAGGAGGTAATAAAAAAAAAAAAAAAAATACGAAGGGGTTTTTGCATTTGTAAAGGACTAAATAACTCGGTTTTATCAAAGGTTCCGCCGTGGCTTTGGTTCCCCGTTTTCTATTCCGTGCATGGCGGTCTTGGCAAAAAAACGTGCTTTGATTTCGATTGCTTGGCTGTCAGGGAGTAATATTATTTATGTGTTTTATATCACACACACACACACACACACATATATATATANGAGAGAGAGAGAGAGAGAGAGAGAGAGAGAGAGAGAGAGAGAGACGTGACAAACAATATACATATTTTGATACAGATATAAATAGAAATATATAGGCACAAAGCGATAAATGCGGTTGATGAATAAATAGAGAAATAAATGGGTAGTCAGTTAGATAGATAAGCAGGAGAGGTAGACAGACAAACAGACGAAAAGACAGACATAAACAGACAGACAATTATTTAAGACAGATGGACTGATTGATGAATAGACGGACAGATACGTGGACAGAGCTTGACAAAGAGAAAGAGAGAGAGAAAAGTCCTTTAAAAAAAGAAGAAAAGGACTTTAAATACCTAAAAGACATCCGCGGAAAACGTCCTCAAGAAGTCCTTGGCTGGACTCTCACCCAAACGCTGTCCTGAAAACACCTTAAAACGTTTCTCCTTAAAAAAATGATTGTCTCTCCATTAAACCCACGTCCCTTACTCCCATGCTGTAAAAAGTAAAATAAAAAAAGTGGGGGGAGATAGTTCATGTATTTCTTTTGTATCTTCTTTATGACACTTATGCATGGGTACATCCACCCTACAGACAGACAGACAGACAAACAGACAGATGGAAATGACCTCCAGACGCCGGCCTTGGCGAGCGCCCGTTCACACCGAGCTCTCTCTTTTCCCCAAGAGCGGGGTGCTGGGGGCGTCCAGCTCGCACGTGGACTGACTCGAGTGCCTGGAGAAGCAGGAGGAGGAGCCCGGCGCCCTTGGACTCTTGTCGGAGGAGCTCTGGAACTCGGGGGGCGGGGGCGGCGGGGGCACGTCTCCCTCCGTGCCCGGGTATGGCCTGTGGTGCGGGTTGACGATGCGGGGAGGGTGGCGGCGCGGGAAGGCCGTAGGGAGGTGGTGGTGGGGGTGGTGCGGGGGGTGCGGGGTCGCATCTCTTCGGGGCCCCTCCCTCTGCCCCTCCTTCCCCCGCTCCTCCTGCGCCGCCGTCGGGGAGGCCGGGAGGCGGCTGTAGCGGGGGCTGGACTGAAACGACAACAGGGAGGAATGCAGTTCGAGGGAGAGATCGGAGGCGACTGGGGAGCCGAAGCGGGCGGGCACTGCATGCATTATGGAGGGAGGATAAGGGGTTTGATGGATGGGAAGGGAGGAAAAGGGAATGTGATGGAGAGAGACTAATGGGAGTACAGACTGAAGGACTTGCAAAGGTGAAGGACCTACATAGGTCTACATTCACGCATACACACAGTAGCGTGTACATAAACACACACACGCATACATACACACACATGAGCATATAAAAATACGCAAACACACACACATACAAGCATACAAACATACACACGTACATTTAAGAGAAAAGAGTAGGTAGAGATATATAAACAGACATCACTGCCGTATTTATGTGACAGTTCAATGTCATATAATGTTTAATTAGCTAATTAATGAATTATCGACCACCAGCTAGTCAAGTCAAGGCATCTGATGAAAACTAAATCCACTAAATTAACAGCGTATTTTATAATTTATTCTTAACATTTATTATTTGTTACATTAACTAACATCAATGAATTTATTCTGATAGCAATTATGATACTACTAATGATCATGACACTAATGATGATTATAGCGACGATGAGGCAGTTTGATGATGTATACAGCAATTGTGACGATGATAATGATATTTATGATATTAATAGCAACGGTGATGATTGTAATATTGATGATGAAAATAATCGATGATGATGCCATAAATTACAATAGTAATAGCAATAATGGCGATGATTACGGCAATAAAAACAATGAAGATAAAGATAACATTAACAAAGACAATAACGACGATAATAAAAATAATAGCACCATCAATGATAACCATATCGAAAAAACAATAACCAAAACAAGAACGACAATAACAATAATAACAATAACGAAAGAATAACCAAATCAATAACGTCGATAATAACAACACGACAATAACAATAACAAAAGAACAATAACCAAAAGAACAACGATGATAATAACGATAACAACCCAATGACAACAATAACAAAAGAACAATAACCAAAACAAGACGACCACGACAAGCACTTAACAACACCACCATCTCCGCCACCTTAACCCACTCACCACATGGGCGGGGACAGGGGAGTACTTGTAGCGTTCAGGCGGCAGCAGGGTAGCGGCAGGCGAAGGGGAAGAGCTGGGGAGAGTGGGCGAGGATCGAGGGCAGCCTTGCAACGGGATGATGTCGGGGTCTGCGTCGCTCTCGGACTCAACCTGCAACGGGAGAGAGGGCTGTTAGCGAGTTGGAACGAGGGAAGCGGTTGTTTCGGATGGGTTGTTTCGGTTGGAACGAGTGAATGGGTTGTGGAGGATGGGTTGTTTGTGTTTGGCTGTTTGTTGTTTGTTTGTCTATCAATCATTCTTGTTGTGGCAATTGTTGATGTTATTATTATCGTTATCATTACTTTTATTGTTGTAAAAGTTATGTTTTTTATCATGATTTCTATTTCTAGCATAACTAGCATTATTCATATGGAAAAAAATAAGAGAGGCTATTCATTATTATTGCTATCATTATCATGAACATTTTTATTATTATTATCATCAGTTTTATCATTATTACTTTTGTCATTGTTATTTTCAGAATTATCGTTGTTATCACTGTTAACATTAACATTATCTCATTATCACTGGTATTACGATACGGTATTTTTGTTATACCTTTGGATGTATTTAGCATTCAAATACCCAGAAATTATTTAATTATTTCGGGAGTAATTCTTTTTAAACCCATACTCGACATTAGTGGTGTCTACACATTATCACTATTATTATCATATTATTGTCATCACTATTACTATCATTCTTCTTACTGCTGCTATTATTATTACAGTATTACTATCATTGCCATCAATATTGATCAATATTACTACTACTATCATCATCATTATCATCCTTATTATTAGTATTTCTTTATTGTTATTATCATGATCATAATGGCCATGATCATCATAATCATCATCATTACCATTATTTTCACCATTATCAATATCATTATCATCATCATTACCATTATTTTTATCATTATCAATATCATTATCATCATCATTATTATAAATATCATTATTAATAGTACTGGATTGAGGGAGAGAAGCTATTCATCACTAATGCTAATATCCTTATTATTAACATTATTGAAAGACAAAATAATGATCATAAAACTACCCCGCCATACTAATAGAAATAATGATTATATTGATGACAATAGTAATGACAAAAATGTTTACAATAATGATAGCCATAATTAACTTCAATAGTTATGATGATTAAAATTAAGTCCATCCAAGTCACTTTGGCTTTTAATCATTATATAACAAATACCTAACATCAGTTTTGCATTTTCTTGCTCATGTTGCATGCCCATTATTTATGTGTCGTAATTAGCAGCTTAATTACACGATGAATCATTAAGACCGCTAATTAGTATCCGCTTTTGTGGTTTGCTTTTTTTTATCATTTTTATTCAGAGTGTGTCGTAGTTGTAATATTTTGTTTCGTCCATAATTTCTCTTATATTTTTATCTATCTATTTATCTATTTTTCTTGTCTTCTTTCTATTTTTTTGTTACTCATATGTGTTTCAGTTGGTTCATCTATGAGGTAGTTGTGAGTCATCCATGTGAGTCAACTATTTATGAATTTATGTTTGTTACGACTTTGAAAACTTACTCATGAGTTACTTTTATGACTCACCTGCATACTTCCCAACGACTCATATTAGGACACGCACCTACATACTCATACCTGACTCATCCACGTTATGAGAAAATGACTCATTGATGATTCCATGTTGCCTTCATGCTCCTCAGTAACTCACATGATTCAACTTTACTCACGCGATTCATCCTCTGCCTTCAAACATGACACACAATTACAGAATTTTAGTCTCAATTTTTACCCATAATCACTGACTCATTTTGAATATAACTCCATTCAATTTCATCAATAACTCCCATTCAAAGCATATTCTAAATGACTCACATGAATTCCCATCCGCATAGTGTAATACCCACATGACTCACCAGACTCAGCGGCCTCCGTGAGTTAGACTGGATTCAACGAAGATTCAATCAAGACCCAACCGACTCAGCTGCACACTCACCGATGACTCAACTGAGAACTCACTTCCACTGATTCATCTGCACACTCACGAACGAGTAACTGGCCAAATTCCTGGATTGACTCACCTGCACACTCACCGAAGACTCAGTTAGGGATTAATTTCCGCTGACTCACTTACACACTCACCAACGACTCAGGTCGAGCCCTGGAGAGACTCACCTGTTCTCACCAAGTATTCAATTAAGACCAAATTGACACACCTGCACAGTCACCAACGACTCAATTAAGACCTAACTTCCGCTGANAATGGCATTAGTAGTGGCGACATTTTTATACCAAAATGTTCTTGAAAACAAAAGGGATTATTAATGGGTCTTTATCTCTCCAGTGGACCCTGAGCTCCTCTTCAGCCCCACAGACGCACAGGCTCTGGCGCTCTTTGGTTCCGAGGAGAACCACCTGGCAGTGAAGCAGTGCGTCCTGCAGGAGCGTGGAGAGGTAAGTCCAAGGGCATGGCCCTCTTAAGGCACTCAATTTTCATGCTAGACAGCCGTAGGAGAATGTATATATATTTAACGACTCGATAAGACCAAATTATTTGAGGATACTGTACTGTACTTTAAACATTTGTTCCTTCATCAGTAACCTTTATTGTTCCGTATAAGTAGATGACTACAGTCACTGTTTTCTTCCCACCTCCTTCGCTCCCAGGTAAGGCCTGACGGAACAATCGACCCTCAGCCCTTCCTGGACAGGCTGACTCCCGCCCTTAACGACACTCGTCCTGACCTCCTCGACCGCCTCGTTTCTGGCGCAGAGTTCTGCTCGCCTCAAAGCGTAAGTTCTGCTCCTTCCCCATTATGCTTTAGGAAGAATTCATGTCTCAAACATTCACACAGATTAAGCACTTTCCTTCACTCTTCTCTAATCCCTCTTTCTGTATTCACATTTTGCGTCCCTATTTCGGCATTACGTGTTATTTCGGTGTCCATTTTTCCTTTTCAGATTGAGGAGTGGGAGGCCTGCATCTTCTACGAATGCTTCCTGGGGGATTTCACAACACCTGTGCCTACAACTGTTGTTCCTGAGGAGTAATGGTGTGAAATCATTCCTTTCTCCCGTGGAAATCTTCATGCCACGACAGTGTAAATTAAACTATAATGACTATAAAAGATTTCGAATTATTATCATCCATTTCTTTATATTTTTTGAAAAGATCTCCGCTCAAAAATAATAGACCTTTTTTTTCTAAATACGGAATGACGTTAAATTGAAATGAAAGACCTTTCTCCGAGATAGTTCCCCATCATGAAAAATAAAGACCAATACCCTGAAGCATTTGGTAATCATATTTTCCTCATTCTATTTTCTACACTCAATTGGAATAAAAAGTATGTTCTGCTCATTCAACGCAGCACACCCTCAGAAAACAGATTTCTGAAATCTTTCAAACAAACATTTAAAATTCCTTGCTAGGTTCATTAATTTTCAAACAAATGATTCCACGTTATTTGCAGATCTTATATTTCAAAATAAGGAACTGATTTCTTTGAAGATTTCTTATATAATAAATACATCAGCGACGCATATAAAGATCAGTTACCGGACTTTTTTCATAAAGATAAATTTCTAGACTTTTTTTTTCTTACGCTTTGAGTTTTGCATAGAACCACAAATCATGGAACACATTGCCCCTTTTACTGAGACAGAAACCATGGACGTCCCAGACGCCAGAAAATGTGTCAAAAGAATATCAATCTATGAACCGTATTCTTGATGACGAATGTAGGAAAGGTATGAAATAAATGAGAATATATCACAATGAATATCTTCGTCAGAAATACAAAACTTTTCTAGTACTCTGTACGACAGTTACTTTATAAAATCCGACAATAATAATGATAAACAAGAATGGGGTACACCATCAGTAACATTTCCGTTATCATTACACTATATGCATATATATATATTATATATATATTAATTAGAAAATTACATGCATATCATATAACATATATATAATATATCACGTATTACATACACACACACACACACACACACACCACACACACACACACAACACACACATTTATATATACATATACATATATATATGTAATATATATATATATATATATATATATATATATATATATATATATATATATATATATATATATATATATATATAGTGTGTATGTGTGTATATATATATGTATATTATGTATATAAGTATACATGCATTCATATATATATATATATATATAGATAGATAGATAGATATAATAGATAATATATGGCGGAAAAATATATTATTCTGGTTGAAAAAGTGAAATTATCTTCGATGTTATTAACATTTCTTATTATAAAAGAAAAATTCATTTCCAAAACAATCCCAGGGAATGACCCGACCCTCATATAATCTATTTTCGTCCTTATGACGAAATCGTCAAAAATTTCCGTGGCCGTTGTCTGCGGTCACCGAAAAATATTCTGCATCTTTTAGCTTCTAAGGAATGGCCAGAGTCTTTGCGAAAAGTATTTGTCATTCACCGACTATAATGTGACCCGGTTTCAGGTCGCGACCTCCCGAGCAAGGGCTTGGCGACGCTGTCTCGAAGGACGTTCCTCTGGCAGACGGGCCTGGCCAGCGGACGCCCTTCCTGCCTCGGGCCGTGGGCGGGATGCCAAATCTGTCGGATGTTTCTCATTTAAATCGACTGAAATTGACCAAAATCAGAATGATCATTTCACTTGTAGTGTATTGTAGCTTGTGAAATGTTCAATTCAACATATTTCCTTGAACGGTTTTACGCTTAAACTGTACGTTTATACATGTATGTATTGTATATGTGTACTTCACACCACACACGTACATATATACATATATTGTATGTATATACATATATATACATATACAAAATATATGTGTAATATATATATATATATATATATATATATATATATATATATATATATATATATATATATATATATATATATATATATATATATATTATATATATATTATAACATAAGTTCATTTCCTCATTTCTTTCTTCAATTTCTCTTATTTCTATCTTTCACTAAGTATTTGTGCTTAACTTCCTCTCCCTTCTTCCCACTGTTTAGCATCAAGCACGCAAATTGCACAGCAATTTGGATGCTTGTCTTCCGTCTTCTCCTGATGACGCAAGCAAACAAGCTGAGTCACGCGTCTCATATAAGGGACGCTCTGTCAAGCTCATTCAGTCTCCTTCTGCTCACCTTCGCAGTAAGTAATAGAGGAGCTTTCACTGCATGGAAACTCATCTCATTCATTCTTTTGTTATTCGACTTTTATACAGATGTAACCAATTTCAAAATTATGTTTGGTAGATTAAGATATATATGATTACTGTATTTTTATCAAAACATTTAATCAGGAATATCAGATTAACAGTATGTTTTGTCTACATTCCAGAACATGATCAAAGCCTTGACCTTCTTGGCTGCAGTGGCCGCAGTTTCTGCTTCTCCTCAACAATTTTTAAAAGGTAAATAGCTAGCCTGCTTGTTTTCTCTAATAACGAAAGTACACATAAAAGCAGGAGAAATGAGTGGAGGACTACTGCCCAATGACACTATATACAAGCACTGTCCATTCCGTATCTAACAGTATCTTTCCTTCAGATGTAACATGTGAGGGAGCTGATAATGTGACCTCGTGTGAGGCTGATGTGAGTACTGTTTTATTTTGTTTAATTACCTCAGCCAAGGAGGTTATGTCTTTGGTAGCATTGATTAGTTTGTTCGTTGGTTAGCAGGATAACTCAAAGATATGAACAGAGGTGTGCCTTAGTCCAACTAAGATGCTATTAAATTTTGGTGGTGATCCGGATTATGGTTCGGATCCAGGAATTGTTTAAGTGATTGCCTCAGTGTCCCCTATTGCCTTGGCGGAGGTATGCGCTCTCTGAGTGCTTTTAGTTTCCCCATATTTTTATTTGAATTATTCTGTGGGTTAGTGTTGTTTCTGTGCAAGAAGAAAATTATGTAACATTGATTATTAGAATTTAGTTTAAGATAGGATGGTGCCTCGTTTAGCAGTAATTTCCTTCCTAAACGCACTTGTCTTCTTAAAGCTGCAAGTCTGCAAGAACCTCTTCGCAATTGAACATGATGAACAAACGAGGAGAGAAATATACAGGAAATGTCTCGATGTAAACGGCTTCAGCCATCTCGATGACGGTGAGAATACTTCACATTTTCCCCTTTAATTGTAATTATGATAAATAGTACCATAGTGAAATAAAGCCAAGATAGGTTGAGCATAATAAAGATAATCATCGAATATTCATGTTAATAACTGCAGTACTGTTGATAATGGCATTAGTAGTGGCGATATTTTTATACCAAAATGTTCTTGAAAACAAAAGGGATTATTAATGGGTCTTTATCTCTCCAGTGGACCCTGAGCTCCTCTTCAGCCCCACAGACGCACAGGCTCTGGCGCTCTTTGGTTCCGAGGAGAACCACCTGGCAGTGAAGCAGTGCGTCCTGCAGGAGCGTGGAGAGGTAAGTCCAAGGGCATGGCCCTCTTAAGGCACTCAATTTTCATGCTAGACAGCCGTATGGAGAATGTATATATTATTTAACGACTCGATAAGACCAAATTATTTGAGGATACTGTACTGTACTTTAAACATTTGTTCCTTCATCAGTAACCTTTATTGTTCCGTGTAAGTAGATGACTACAGTCACTGTTTTCTCTCCCCACCTCCTTCGCTCCCAGGTAAGGCCTGACGGAACAGTCGACCCTCAGCCCTTCCTGGACAGGCTGACTCCCGCCCTTAACGACACTCGTCCTGACCTCCTCGACCGCCTCGTTTCTGGCGCAGAGTCCTGCTTGCTCCAAAGCGTAAGTTCTGCTCCTTCCCCATTATGCTTTAGGAAGAATTTCATGTCTCATACATTCACACAGATTAAGCACTTTCCTTCACTCTTCTCTAATCCCTCTTTCTGTATTCACATTTTGTGTCCCTATTTCGGCATTACGTGTTATTTCGGTGTCCATTATTTCTTTTCAGATTGAGGAGTGGGAGGCCTGCATCTTCTACGAATGCTTCCTGGGGGATTTCACAACACCTGTGCCTACAACTGTTGTTCCTGAGGAGTAATGGTGTGAAATCATTCCTTTCTCCCGTGGAAATCTTCATGCCACGACAGTGTAAATTAAACTATAATGACT